AATTATGCGTCAAAATAGAGAGAAATTGGCCACGTTAGAGGCAAACTCAGTTTTTAATAAGCAATTTCATCATTTTACACTTGAAATCCATCTGCCTCAATCAATTTAAGTCTTCTATTGCTCCAAAAAAAAAAAAAAAAAAAAACCCTGAAATCCAGTTTTAGTATAAGGCTAGGAGATTGTATGTTGACATTTGGGACTTATTCTAAAGCGATGCAATACTTTAATTGATTTGGACAGAGCAATTTTGGCTGCAAAATGACAAAATTGTTCATTCAAGAAGAGATGTGTCTCTTACATGGCGCTAACTTCAAACTATCCGAAGGATATATAGAATGGATCATAATGGCCAAAATAATTCACTTCAAGAAGTTTGATAAGTTATTTACTACCAAAAATGGTTAAGCATGTGAAATGAATCTTTCGAAACATTTTGGTAACCTCCTGCGGACATCTTATTTGATGATACCTATCATTCAATTGCCAGATTCTCAGTTTTCCCCCCAGACAAAGCAATTTAGAATCCTATCTTAAACAGGTGCTAAAACAGAAGCTTTTTTGAGTGACAAATTTTGCTACTTTAGCGTCTTTCTTAACTTGGAATCAAATAATATTTCCAGCAATAAGTTTCTCAGTTAGTATGAGTTAATTTCTGTAGTAGAGGATAAGATTATATCATTTTCACACTTTTGGCTTTGAACTCTAAAAAATAATTTTCTATATATGTAATATTCATTTGCAACTTTACGACTTTAAATACCAACATACGTGAAGCGAAAAATAAAAGAAAACAAAATTTTTTTTTAAAAAAAAGAGAGAGACAAACAACCCATAAAGCATGTCCAAAGAACTACAATGTCCATTGATCGAATAAAAAGATAATCAATTGTTTGATAAAATGATTCACATGTAAAAATGCATCATTCTAATCTTAATTGGGTTCTTCTATTTGGTACCCAACTAACTACGAAGTGAATCCAGTACGAAGGATATAATTCAATGGCCTGAATAAAAAAAAAAAAAAACAAAGGCTTTGAATGGCCTGAAATAAATATATACAATATATTATTTATATGTTGAAGACTTTGAAGGAAAAGCTTCTTAAGATGTGGTGTAGCATGACGTTCATTCAATCATGCATGCTCATTGCTATAGATACTTAGAATATACAAGAAGTGATTCTCTTACATACATGAAGATTTAAAAATTGTAAAGTAAGCTCAATGAGCATTTTAATGTCTGCATTAAACACATTGATCGGTGATGGAGCAGGAAGAGGAGGAAATTGTGTGAGGACATTTCTGCAAGCATCAACTCCATCCATAGCTTTTCCAAGCTCCGCCATGAAATCTGGATAGTTGGTGGTGCCATTAAGCTCAGGCCAATATAAATTTTGCAGCACGTAAACAACTTTATAATATTGATCCAAACATGTTCGAAGACGAGATTCAAGAGGAGGGCTATGATTACTCCGGAGAAGTTCAGTAATTTGTGTATAAGCAGTAATACTATATTCCTTGGCTTTACTTGAGAGTATGGTTAAATGACCACTTGGACTTGTCTTCCAATAATAGGCATCGTCTTCATCAATGATAGCATTGCAAAGACTACTCATAGTTGTGTTATGACAAATGGGATGATAATCAGATGATTGAGGGTGGACATAGGGGGGGATTAATGCAACAGAAAAGGAAAGAGTAAAGCAAAGGAGGATGATGCGATCAGCCATTGTTTATGGCCCCAGAGCCTAATCTGAATCTCATGGAGTAGGTTACCTCTCACTCTGTGTGTGTGTGTGTGTATATATATATATATATATATATATATATATATATATATATAGACACAGAAGTCATTAACTCTATAATATTTAAGCAAAGAATACAGAAAAAGAAAGAAAATCCAGTCACTAATTCTTTCTTAACAATAAATTAAAAAATGATTGGATAATATCAAGTATATTTTTAGGTTCTAAATTTAGCCTCAGTTACCTCATTTTAGTTTGTAACCATCCACTTCATTTATCTACCATTTGAAATAATAAATTCTCTTTTTGGGTCCGTATTCTTTTTTTTTTCTTTTTTTTTTTTGGTATGCTTATCTTGTTTGCTTTGAGGGGATAGGACGTAAAAGGAAAGGAAATAGAGGGATAAGGATTTTGATGTTTAGATTTTTTTTTTTTTTTAAGAGGGAAAGGAAAGGAAGGGATAAGGTTTAGTTATTTTTTTTGTTAATTTGCTTGCTGTCTGAAAGTGGATGGAAATGGAGGGAAGGAAACAAAAACAAATGAAAATTTTAAAATTTTCTAAAAAATCTATGTACTTTTAAATTAAGGTTTTAAGTTGTTATAAATAAACATGCAACTAACGCATGATATTTTTCTTTCATTTTTTTCCTTCCCTAATGCAAACAATAATTTTAATGTATCCTTTCTTTTCTTTTCATATTTAATCCAACCAAAATGGATGAAATGGGCATTTTCCTTCAATCGGCATTCCTCTACTTTCCTTTCCTTTCTTTTTCACTAGAGTTTTTTTCCTTCTTTTCTGTCATTTTCCTTCAACCCAAACTGTGCCTTTAGAGTACAAAGTAGAAATACCAGAAAGGTGCATCTCCTCCTCTTTCTTCTCTCTAACTTCCTCCAAGCCTTTCAAACCAAATATTGCCTTCCTAAGGCCTCGTTAGTACGAAAAAAAAAAAAAAAAGAACAATTCATAAGGTGCCTATTTGTATGAACAACCAATCCACTCTTTTCTTTATTCTCATTTTCTTTCTTGTAGAAAATACTTCACACTACTTTACACATCATGCACTTGGAAAATGACATCCGAATTTTCCACCTAAATATAACAGCAGATTAGCAATTAGGCTTAATTTCAAATGTCCCTATAACATTAGGCTGCAAACCGTTCGAAATAATTCGGAGAATAACGAAGAAGGAGATAATCTAATGATAGTCAAAATAACAAATGCTAATTAAGAATGAAAAGCTTCTGAAGACATAAATGGTGTAACGTACGTAACATTCATCTATGTACATGGCTATGATTATAAACTACAAGCAGTAATTTTGAGACATATATTAAGATTTAAATACTGTAAAGTAACTTCAATGAGCTTTCTGGTGTCTTCATTGTACACATTGATTGGTGATGGAGTAGGAATAGGAGGATGTGAGAAGACATTTGTGCAAGTATTAACTGCATCAAGAACTTTTTCAAGGGTAGCCATATGATCTGGATAATTATGATTATCAAGATCATTCCAATTCAACTCTTCTAGCAGAGAAATAGCTTGAGAATATTGATACGAACAAGTGTCAAGACAATATTTAGCTCTAGAGGTAATATTGATCTTCCTGAGATTATCAGCAATCTGAGTTTGAGTAGTAAGAAGGAACGACTTGACTCTATCTTTGAGAATGGTTAAATGACCAATTGGAGTTGTCTTCAATTTATCCGAGATGGATCTACCAATGACTTCAATGCAAAGATTGCCCATTGTTGTTCTTTCACAAATGGGTACATGATCAATGGATTGGGGGTAGCCAAGGGGGAATAATGCAACAAAAATGAAAAGAAGGAGGCAAAACTTGATGGGATCAGCCATTGTTTCTTGAGCCCTTTTCTTCTGGTTGTGTCCTAGATAGAGCCTTTGGCCGTGTGTTATATGAAAGTACATTGCCTCAATATATATACATATATATATGGAGAAGATCTTAATGTCCTTTTTATTGGCAAGTTATTAACTCTGCATTGAGGCAAAGAAAACGGAAAAAGAAAGACAAGCCTGTGGTGCCGGGGAATGAATTGAATTTGAAGCAATGGGACGAGGCATTGCCAATGCCAAAGAAGAACGATGTATGGTGACTAGCTAGCCATAAGGGGTTCTGAATCCACCCCACGTTAACTATCTACCATTTGAATTGCTAAAGATAAGATTAATGCTTTCTGAAAATTTTACAAAAAGATAAGCTTTTACAGAAAAGGAAAGTATGGATGTTACACGCATGAATTATCAACCGAGTTGCAGAAACTTTGAAACACTAGATTTTGTCATAGCGTAAATAAATTGTTTAGTTAATTGAAAATCTATTCCTTAAAATCACACCGCGCGTAAACAAATTGTTTGGTTTATTAGAAATCTATTCCTTTCTAGAACCTAGGGATATACACACCCCTATTTTTTTTCCCAACACTTTTAACTATGATGTAAAATCCAACATGGTGAAGTAGAATTTAATTTGATGTCATGATAAGAATAATTTTATAGATTAATAGTATATACACGGTTAGCGTAAAGATTTTTTTACACTAATAGGTATAAATATATGATACATGGATAAAAAGTGAATTTTAATATTTGATCAGTGATGATGTGGTTTTCATCTAAATCTGCATGCACAAAAAAAAAATTTATAAGGGCGCCGCCATGATTATAAGTGAAATCAATAATATTGTTTTGGCTACTAATTTCTAGATTTAAAGTGTATGCAATTTGGGGGTGGGTGATTGTGTAATTTTACAACGAACACCCCCTTTCTTTTTGGTGTACTTGTGTGCTATTCTGTGTCCTAAGCACATATATTAGGAAAACCCTTTAAAACAAATTGTAGGCATAATCAAAGGAAAAGTGTATGCAATTTACACGCACTGTCTCAATTCCAATGGCAAAAGTTGTAATACTATGGAAACATATTTTCTAAACCTTTTCCTACAAAAAAAAAAAACATAGGAACACCGAAGGAAGTGCGTGAGTGAGGCATAAATAGCAGAACAAAAATAAACGTTCAATAGATGAAACATTAACAAATCTTCAAAGCCTCAAATCCTGCTGGGTAGCTACGTCTCCATCAAATGTGTATGCAAAACTATTTCATGTGGACATTCAAAATTCCTTTGTACCTGATTAAAATTGAGTTATAGGTGCTTGTTACAAACATTGAAGAATTTGTCGATATTTCCATGATGATCCTATACCCCACGGGTTTCATTCTTTGTAGATTCACTATGCTCAATATATGATAAATGTGAATTTGGAAGCTTGATATCAAGAAAGAAGCTCCAAAGTTCAACCTACAACTCAATACTCCTGTGTTTGAAGAGTCAAAACCTATGGTATGGTCCCCCTTGGACATAGAACAACAAAAATGGCAAAAAGTAAAAATAGTAAATCAAATAAGCCGATGGAATGACAATAACTAAGACAATACCGTGAAGAAGATGAATCAATGTAGCTGGACTACCAGCCCTCTAAAATTACAGTAGTGTATTCCAGTTCTACTGTTGTTATCTGGCGAAATTTGCCAACACTATCTCCAGCACTATAACAGAACCATGACTAGGGAAAATTAATTTGTCGCATTAGCATGCAATTAGTAAGTCAATGTACTGGCACATTTTCTCAATTAACAAGTCATTGTGCTGGCACATTTTCTTTTTAATACAATCCAGCGGCTGAGAGACAGCAACCAGACAGAGCTACTCTTGTTTCGTCCGTGTTCTTGAGGAATCCTCAAGTTCAGTTGATTCAGAGTGCTGAATACTAGCCTTGGCCTCTGCAAGGAATCTAGGATCGGGCTCGTGCTTATATGATGGTTCCTTCATTGCCATATAAATGTAGAATGCGATAACCATATTCACAGATATGACAGCTAGGAAGCCGCTCAACAATGTAACAGAATAAGGAGACAATTGAGTAGAACCTGTTCCAGAGTGGACATGTCAGTAAAAAATGTCTTATCATCTCAGCAATAATGATACTGAATACTACCACAAGGCCAGAACGGAAAGGGCAATGGAAAATAATCTAGACTCTTGAGTTTTCAGGAGGTTAAGCAGCTAAATCACAATCATTTAACAGTGGTCCAAGTGCGACAACGATTTAAACGTGACACAAAATGCACACATCTGTAAATAACAACAGCTAAGAGTCTACTTTAAACTATCTAAACTGCCTTCAACAATGAACTCCTAAACTGCAAAAAGAAAAGAGGACAACACTGAAGGATCAGAGCTAAAACTAAGACAAATATTTTTCAAAATATTATACTTCAATGTAGAATCAATGATTTAGATTTTCACATATGTTCCGTCATAATTAACATCTTTCTAAAAATTTCAGATAAGGACAAAGAAATATGATGATATTTAGTAATGAGTTATGAACCATGTTGTGTAATATTCTTTCCCCTAAATGAATCCCCCTCAAGGAAAGGGAAACCAAAAGGTTAAAAAACAAACACAAATCCTTAAGCGAAGGGAAGATTTAGGCTGTAACATCTCAATCAATATATATCTTAGCCCACACCCACAATAAAACTAAACCTGCTTTTCAACAGCAAAAACATACAGTCAGTAATTAAGAAATTTAATGTTGAAATAGTGCCCACTTGTAACAAACATCAAAAGCAAACTACATGTAGCAAGCAAGAACAGATCAAGGATGCCCTCAATGACAACTTCTAACCTAAAACCATCATTCATGTGACAAGCCACCATTTAGCCTTCCTTAGATAGAATCTGTAAACTGGGCTTAATAAATATTATCACTCTGCAGCATAGCCAAGGACAACCATTCAATCCTTCCCACTTCTCATGACCTTACATTTTATAGCAATTCCAGTAACATGATAAACATAAAAAATTGACCAGAAAATATCCTCCACAGGACGTTACATTACCGGTCAACTCAAAGAAGCACAAATCATTACCTATAATACTTTACAGGATAAATTTAATATTCTACCTCCTTCCTTTGCAAATAGGCACAACCTTTTTATGTCTTTAACCAGTTCATTTTCCTACTTGATTTGATTTCCTAACATGAAAAACTAAAGACGTTAAAATTCTGTAGGTACCAGAAAAAACAAGTAGTACGTCTTAGCAAATTGCGAACAACTCTGCGTTTCTCATTTCAATGCAATGGTAACACTTCTGGCTGTTAAATGCTTATTTTTCTAGCAGGAATAAAGTGCCTTGGTCACGAGTGACAGACATATTCCTTCTGCCAAAGATGCACCTCAGAGTTCCATATAGTAATAGAACGTATGCTTAGATAAAAACAAGCAGGTTGTCTTCGATTTTTAAGTCAACTTATCTTTATATAACTGGCAGTTTTCAAGCCCTAAAAACTTCATTACCCTTATAAATCAAGCTTCATAAAATGCCTCTTTCAAGGACAAATTTATGACAAAAATCTAGACTGGCACTTTTCACTGTTTTCACACTACAGAGAGTCAAAAACATCTTTTTTCATGCAAGTCTGTGTATAGAAAATGACTAACTATAAAAGAAGCATGAAGCTGCAAAAGAGAGTTCTACTTACCAGGAAAGAAATTATGGTTGAAACCATATAAAATAGCAACAGGAGCGGCCCACATAAACATAGACGCAATAACAAATCTTTGTATTACTCCCACCATAACACCTTCTACCTGTAAATGCTATGCAGTATCAAATTAAAGTACAAAATGAACCAGCCAAGTCTTTCATTTAAAATTTTCACAGAAAACATCAAAATGTGCAACAAATCACGTAAGCATCACCAACTATTCACCAAATTTGTAACTCTTATTTAATGTGAAATCCATCCTTGAAAACATTTCAGTTGCAAAATTTTATAAATAAATGTGAGAAAATGAATCATATAACCAGGGAATGTCAAAAGGGACTCGAAGGCAATACAACATTTATCAAAGCACTCCATTAACAAGATTGTGCAATTGATTACTAAACATTAATATCAAATATCGCTACAAGAAGGTTTCTCAGTGAAACCTCATTTTCCTCAGTGAAACCTCATTTTCATGCCCTGTTATGGATTGGTTTTTCTTTTTAAAGCAAATTACAGGGTATCTGTGTGAAATTTCAAAAACACTTTATTCTTTCACATCTTTAAAAAAGCTAAAAGCTGTAATAAACACCGTGAGAATCAATTTTTCTTTAGCTTAAAGTAAGCTAAAACTAAACGCTCTAATCAATTGAAAGCACCTCAAAGCAGCTTTTAGCCGGGAAAGCAACAATGAGAGGGCTGCGGAAGTACCAAATTGGTTAGAAGTTTGGCTCGTATTGAGTGAAACTAGGATTGGAAGCCTCCAGGCAAAAATTTAAGTGTAGTAAGGACATGCCAGTGAAGAAGGGAGCACAAATTAATAAATAACATACAATGAAAAGATATGACAGACAGCACGAAAGATTTTGCTATTCCCCTCAAAGTACACCATATGTACATGAATATCTATGCAGATGTGCGTGCCTTGATCATGTGAAAATATAATACCAATCAAATAAATGGATTACTTTTGCATGTCAATACAGCGACTTTCTTAGCAGAAGAAAGCAGTACAAGTAAGTGCATTGCATTTACTGTAAATTCAGACTGCTCGCAATTCAACTTATCCAACAATTCAATAAAGCCTAAAAAATTAGAAAGGTTGCCATACTCAATCTTCAACCCAATTTGCTTCCGAAAAATAAAAACCTAATATTGACAGTCGTTTACATAATTACATGCATAGATGAACCAACCTGAGGTTGCCAACGGGCTGAATTGAAGGAGGAGTTGCCTCGATGAGAAAAAAGAAGTCCGGACTGTGTAGTAATATTAGTTGGAACGGACAAAGCTGCAGTTCGGATAATTTAAATCAGCTTAATTGCGGCGGTGGCGGGGAGGCGGTGGCAGAGCGATGGGCCTCCGAGTCGCCGACGGAGTCTGACTAAAAGCTTTGACTTTGGATCTTCGAAAGAGAGGAACAAATTTTTAACGTAAATGGGAAGGCGGCTTACAGCATAAGATAGTAGTGTATTACTTAATCGTACGCCCTACTTGCTAATCTACGTTGCTTTGGTAGACTATGATGGGAAGTTGAATTTTGACCAATGAATTAACGGTCAGATGAATTGCGGTAGACTCGGAAGTTACGTGTTTAATGTGTGAAAGGACAAAAATGGGGAGCCCAGTGATGATTTCTTTTCTATTGGTGGGCCGACACGCAATTTGATGTGACGCTGTATCTACAATGAACCACTCACCTATGGGTGCACGTACTAGCACGCCAATGCTTTTCAACTTTCCTTTTTGTTTGTTTTATTTTCCAATAAAAGAAAAGGAAAACAAGTTTTATTTGTTTATTGAGGAATTAGATAAGTTGAACCAATCTATGAAATTGTCTAAAATTTAGTTTGCTCAATCAATGGAATTGGAATTTAATTTTTTTTTGTAATCTCTATTTCTATTTCTCATAAAAAAAACTTTAAATGCAATTTGATTCTAATTTATGTATAGAATGAGAAAACGACTTGAACATCCTTCTATTGACATGAGAATAACAAAAATTACCACTAAATAGTAAGAGAAATTCAAGGACACAAAATGACAAGAAAACTTTAATTGTCTCTGCAAATTGTCCGCACATCAATTTTGGAAATAAAAAAAAAGTTAGATTTATGAGCAAAACAACTTCCTCCTTAATATCAAATCCAAGACCTTTCAATTCTATTAAGCATGAAATTTTAATAATTTAAAATAGATTTTTAAGAAAATGATTTGATATTTTCATATTATAAAAGCATAATGATGACATCAAGAGTATGATGAATTATCAACAAAGATCTAATTATTCGCTCCATTGAGAGAATATTGAAGTTCTATTTTTAGGAGGAATAAATGAAGATTCTTTAAAGACTTAAAAGCAATTATCTAAAATCCAATAATGAAATAACATCAAGCCTCAAACATACACATGATATGCATTGGATATTCTAAAAATCAATATTCTATTAATGATAAATCTACAATAATTCAAACAAAGAAATATCCCACCATTCAATTACTAATAGAGAATAAAAGTAGTACATCCTCCTTCTCATTTCAATAGACTTGTTTTCTTTTCATTCCTTCTAAATTATAGTCCACTTTTTCAATTGAAAAATGTAATTATCTTTTAATTTATTTAAAATATCCTTATTTAATATAAATTATTATTGAATATAATTTAACTTATTTAATGTAGAGTTAATTAGTCATGCCCCATTTAATACAGGGATCATATAGAAAGATGGTAAGTTAGATTCATTCTTTCAACAAAGTTAATTAATTTTTCTTAAACTATAACTTCGAGGAAGTAATAAACATTCTCAATACAATCTCTCTTTCCCTCAATATTTTTTAGATTCTATTCTTCGCCTACTAGATAATTTTTTTTTAAAAAAAAAGTATCATAAATATTTCAAAAATAAAAAAATGTAATCAAACCTTCGAACGAGAAGCTTCTGAAAAAAAAAAGGAGAAAATTCACCCAAATACACTAGTAGTAATTGCCACTTGCCAAATAAAGCGCGTGGGCCATAACAAAATTTGCGTAATCTCGTCAGTGCCACATAACATATCCTCATCAAATTCTTATGCGTATCCGGCTATCCGCTCTCTATTTATCTTCTCTTTTCTTCTTCTGAGAAATATGTGTATATTTAAAAGATAAAGAAAACAAAAAAGGTGTATTTTTCTTTTCAGTTTTTTCTTAATTGTCCTTATCTCTCACAAATCCCAATACAAGCACACATCTATATAAACGCAGTATTCAGTCGTCCAATTCAATCCAATCGTTGAATTTCAGAAATATTTCGAGAGAAGAAGAAAAGAGAACGAAAGAAATTGAGAATGGAAAGAGCGATTGAGAGGCAGAGAGTTGTGCTGCAGCACCTCAAGCCATCTTTCACTTCTTCTTCCCTTGAAAATCTTGACTCTTCCCTGTCTGTAAGTCCTTGATTGACCCTTTGCTTTTTTTCATCATTTTTTCTTTTTTGCAGAACAAAATGGTGTCTTTGAGCTGTGGAATGTTCAATGACCCTTTATCTTTAATTCTGAATTCTGGGTTCTATGAGGAATTATGAGATGATTTGAATTTTGAGTAGAAAAATGGTATCTTGAAGCTGTGGAATTGTTAAATTTCCTGTTTTCTTTATTTCCAAAATCTGGTTTATAAGAAATCGTGAGATGATTTGAGTTTTGAGCTTCTAGATAGAATATGTGCTTACGATCTATGCAAGGATGCATGAATTGCATATCTGTCCAAATAGTTGGTATATCTTTTTTTATTGAATTATTATTTGATACGAGGAGTTGTTCTTGAATCAATAAATTAACATAAGATGGGGTCGCGGTTCATATTGTTTTAATAGGTTCTATGTTTTCCCCCCTGTTTTTGTTGATGTGTGAAGAAAATGTTCATGGATCAAAGATTAGACTAATCAAACATGTGATATTTACAGGCTATCCTATAGATTAGTTCAAGGTCATGGGCCTGTTCTTGTTAACTTAAAATAAGCTAATCACAGCATCTTTCAGAGCTAAAAGTTGTCCATATGTTTAAAAGAATGTGCCCTTGATGATTGAGCAAACTGACTTAGAGCAGGTTTAAAAGGTTTCTAAGCTTGGATTTTCTGATTATCATGGAAAATAATATCATATATTTTTTTGGGTAGTGATAGTGAATAAAAAATGAGAAATTTACTGGAGTTCAGTAATACGTTGTGTAATAGTAAACTGGAAAGAATGACAGAAATATGCATATGTATCTGTTTTTGTTTTGGTTGAGGAAAAAGTTACTTCAGCAGGGATTTTGCATTAGGTGACTCTTATAATGGGGTCTGCTTAACTTTTTGCGTATTCCTGTCAGGCTTCTGTGTGTGCAGCTGGTGACAGTGCTGCATATCACAGGACATCTGCTTTTGGTGATGATGTGGTCATAGTAGCGTAAGTTATTGCCCCAAATTTTTTTTTCTTTTTAAGAATGAGTTGCTGCCTTTCCTCAAAATGTTATCTTTGTTGCTTTTGTTTGTACAGTGCATATCGAACTGCACTCTGCAAGTCTAAAAGGGGTGGTTTCAAAGATACTTATCCTGATGATTTACTTGCACCAGTTTTAAGGGTATGCATCCTTTGTCTATTTATCCCATATCACTGAATTTTAATGCTGACATTGCCATACATTTGCTAATAGTTGATGGTATCAAAATTATCTTCTCAGGCATTAATAGAAAAGACGAACTTGAACCCAAGTGAAGTAGGTGATATTGTTGTGGGCACAGTTTTGGCTCCTGGTTCTCAAAGAGCCAGCGAATGCAGGATGGCTGCATTCTATGCTGGTTTTCCTGGCAAGGATATATGTTATTGAAGTTTATGGGCTAAAATATCTTGTAGACCAATGCATGTATGCTGATATACTTGTATCTTTTGCCACAGAAACTGTGCCAGTAAGAACAGTGAACAGACAATGTTCATCTGGCCTTCAAGCAGTAGCTGATGTAGCTGCAGCAATTAAGGCTGGTTTCTATGACATAGGTTAGAAGATATCTGTTCTCTGGAGATGCTTTTATTATAATTTGGAACATATGGATGCTTTACTTTGTGGTTGTCGGCTAAAATTTGCATGAATTAGGGATTGGTGCCGGATTGGAATCAATGACCACAAATCCAATGGCTTGGGAAGGATCAGTTAATCCACGAGTATGTTTCTTTCTTTATGCTTTATAATCTGCACCTCCATGATCATGGGTGCTCAATGACCTTGATGTTTGCACATACTGTTTGCTCTGTTCTTAGGTGAAGTCAATGGCGGAGGCACAGAATTGCCTTCTTCCAATGGGTGTTACTTCAGAAAATGTTGCACATCGCTTTAATGTGACAAGGCAGGAACAAGACCAGGCTGCGGTAGTTTTCCAAAATTTTGATAGTAGATTTGGTCCAATGTTCATTTTCTCCTTAAATAATGATTGACATCCATTTTATCTATCGTAAGGTTGAGTCACATAAGAAGGCTGCAGCTGCCACCGCTTCTGGAAGATTTAAAGATGAGATAATACCTGTAGCTACCAAGGTGATGACTGTTGAACTTTAGACAGCTACTTTCTTCATGTGCTTCAATTCATTTTGCTCATAGAATATAGTAATAGAATTGACTTTAATATGGATTTATACCGCATTTGACTAGATTGTTGACCCAAAAACTGGAGACGAGAAACCTGTCACGATCTCAGTGGATGATGGAATTCGGCCAAGCACAACAGTAGCTGACCTCGCAAAGCTAAAACCTGTATTCAAGAAAGATGGATCAACCACTGCAGGTAGTAGTGGACCATGTATTGTTGACAGTATTAGGAAAATACAAACTTTCCTGTGCCGACTTTTTCTTGCCTGTTTTGTAGGAAATTCTAGCCAAGTTAGCGATGGAGCTGGTGCTGTACTTCTGATGAAGAGAAGTCTTGCAATGCAGAAAGGACTTCCAATTCTTGGTGTTTTTAGGTATGTCAATGGCAAATTGAATCTTCAGTAAGAATTGAACATAATTTTATCAATAGGCCTGACTGAATTTTTACCTTGTGATTTCTGTAATTTTCCTATCATCTGAATGTTTTATCTCTTTCCATGTTTCTTGGTAGAAATACATATTGTTTATGTATGAAAAGTTGGTATAT